GTACAATTAATTAAAATAGATTAAATATCAAATAGTAAATAAAATATAAGCATCAAGAAAACAATTTGGCTAGTGATCTCATATAGTATCATCACATTCACAAAACTTGGATTCCAAAAAACAAAAGAATTCACCTATCACCTGTACAATCACTCCCGTAAGATCAAAATCGAATATTTACTACTCTGATCAAGAAAAAACATGCAAAACTCATCAAAAACAACAAAGTGCATGCGTGAACCTTACGCAATACGTTTGACGGTGATAAAATGAAGAAAACAATTTATATAATTTATTAAATTATAATAGAATAATTATTTTCTATAACAAAATATATTATTTGAAGTTTTCGTCAAAATAATTAAAATGACACCAAATAAAAAGTTTATGTGGTTTTCTATTTTTATTTTTATTTCTTTTCTACATTATTTTTTATTATAATAAATTACAACTATAATAAATATATAGAAACCGTATAAAAATAATATTTTGAGGACAGTAAAATGAAAGTTTAAGAAACATAAAATACAATAAATAAAATTTAAAGAATGAATAAAATGTAAAAGAGAGACCTATTTGATGTTTTAGAAGAAAATTAAGTTTTATTTTGAGGTTATATTGATAAAATATAAGTTTGTTCCACCTTGTTCCACCCTGTTCCATGGGGTAGGGGTGGAACAGGCCTGCTCCACTTTGTTCCACTCTGTTCCTGTCTGTTCCACATAAAATTCATGCCAAACATGGGACATGGATCCTTGTCCTGTTCTGTTTTGTCCCTGTCGGCCAGTGTACCAAACGCACCCTGAAAGTCTTAAAAACAACTCATAATGCATTAAGTACTACTACTTTATGCATTCAGTCTTAGAATCTCTTAATCTACAATTAAAATAACATATAGTACAAGTTACCAATGCACATTATTACCTTTTTTTTTCATTTACCTAAGATACTTTTGGCACATTTCACTCATGTCTTCATCCTCTCATACCTCTATGTCTTCTCCCCATCCCCCAAGGTGATATTCAAATTGATATTCACCATGAGTTATTAAAATTTCTTCCATTCATCTCCAATTCAATTGCTCTAGAACTTTCGGTCTCGATCTCTTGATTCTTTGCTCTTGCTGTAAATCAAACACATTGCACGGGTACACAACTAGTGCAACTTATATCATCATTAAATCTTCTTTAATAAAACCATTAAAACTTCAAAATCGTTAAAATTCACGGCTCGCGCCGCATTGCACGGGTACACAACTAGTACTAATTTAAAGTTAGATAGTACTTTTCGCCAATCCCCACTCCGCCCCGCTTGCCAAGTCGTCGCACCCTCAAACTCGTCCCTGTTGCACCTCGTCGCCCGCAATCCTTGTCGCCTCCCTTACCGTCGTCATTATCTGCTAACCCCTCTCACATTTTTTTTTATAATTTTGTAAATATATAAGTTTGTATGTTTATATTTTAACCAGGATTATCATCTCTTATTGTCTCGTAACAATTTTCCTTCTCATGATGGTTGTGAGACCGACACATATGGTAGAAGCACTATCTGACTTATACCTTTTCTTAAATATCAAAATACAGAAATACAAAAATTGGCATACTTTTCTATATCAGTAATAATTAGTTAGAAAAAGAGTGATTAAACATATCACATATGGTATATGTAATGCCAAATATCGTTTTCAAGTAATTTTTTTAACCGTATTAACTTTTATCTCTCATAAGTTATTGAGACCAGGAAAAAGATAACCGTTTAAGGATGGTCCCAAAAACGAAGTTGGCAACTATTGATGTTGAAAGGGAAGTTGTGTAACGCTAGCTAAATTTTCGGTTTTTAAGGATGGTTGCAAATACGAAGTTGGCAATTATTGATGTTGAAAGGGAAGTCGTGTAATGGTAGCTTGTTGGTCCCAAAAGGGTCTACAAGAATACTAAACAGTTT